CTGCTCAGTCCCTGCTCAATCCCTGCTTGGTCCCTGCTCAGTCTCTGCTCAGTCCCTGCTCAATCCCTGCTCAGTCTCTGCTCAATCCCTGCTTGGTCCCTGCTCAATCCCTGCTCAATCCCTGCTCAGTCCCTGCTCGGTCCCTGCTCGGTCCCTGCTCAATCCCTGCTGAATCCCTGCTCAATCCCTGCTCAATCCCTGCTCAATCCCTGCTCAGTCTCTGCTCGGTCCCTGCTCGGTCCCTGCTCCATCCCTGCTCTGTCCCTGCTCAGTCCCTGCTCAATCCCTGCTCAATCCCTGCTCAATCCCTGCTCAGTCCCTGCTCGGTCCCTGCTCGGTCCCTGCTCAGTCCCTGCTCAGTCCCTGCTAAATCCCTGCTCAATCCCTGCTCAATCCCTGCTCGGTCCCTGCTCAGTCTGCTCAATCCCTGCTCAGTCTCTGCTCAGTCCCTGCTCAATCCCTGCTTCGTCCTTCCCAGATGAACGAACCTGCGAGCCCTACCAGTTCCGCTGCAAGAACAACCGCTGCGTGCCGGGTCGCTGGCAGTGCGACTACGACAACCCTGCTCAATCCCTGCTCAGTCTCTGCTCAGTCCCTGCTCAATCCCTGCTCGGTCCCTGCTCAGTCTCTGCTCAATCCCTGCTCAGTCTCTGCTCAGTCCCTGCTCAATCCCTGCTCAGTCCCTGCTCAATCTCTGCTCAGTCCCTGCTCAATCCCTGCTCAGTCTCTGCTCAATCCCTGCTCGGTCCCTGCTCGGTCCCTGCTTGGTCCCTGCTCGGTCCCTGCTCCATCCCTGCTCTGTCCCTGCTCCCTCCCTGCGGGTGCTGCAGGCAGCGGGCGATGGTGGTGCTGGCTCTGTCAGGATCTGTCCCGCTGAGATACTCCGCTCCCTGACTTCTCCCTGGAGAACTGCTTGGAAGCGGGGGGAGGGAATCTTGCCCACCTTGTTCCGAGCAGGGGTGCTGCAGTCAGCTCCAGGCTGCTGGCACGAGCCGTCCTGCGGAGAGGGAGATGTGCCACGCCGATGCGAGCCCCGTCTCCGTGGGGGTGCCCTCCCCGCATCCGTGTCATCTCAATTCTCCCCGCAGCACAAATGACGTGCGGCGTGGACGAGTTCCGGTGCAAGGACTCGGGCCGGTGCATCCCAGCGCGCTGGAAGTGCGACGGGGAGGACGACTGCGGGGATGGGTCTGACGAGCCCAAGGAGGAATGCGGTGAGCAGGGCCCCTGGGGTTTTGGAGACGAGCCCAGAGGGCATTTTGTGCCCCCCCCCCCACCTTCCCCCAGGGTCAGGCTGCCCTGGCACTGCCCGTCCCCTCCGCCTCCCTGCTGTGCCCGGGGCCGGGGGAGGTTTTAGCTGCTCCTTTCCCGAACCGCATGGGCAAGGCTGG